TGAAAATAAAAATTAATCTATTTAATATTTAAGAGATCATATGTTAAAATCATATTATTAATTATAAATTAACTATAATAAATAATAAACTTGAATATAAAAATATCATTTTATAACAGAAAACAATACAAATAATTAGAATTATATCATCATTATAAAACATTACGTGATAAAATAATTCACCAAATAGAAGAATGGACAAATAGAAAAGTAGGAAATATACTATTTGAATCAGATGTTGATGATTGGAATATAAATACATCAGTATTTGGAGAAAGAATAAAAAATAAAAAACATATAATAATTATTATTGAAGATGAAGAAGGAAATAAATTTGGAGGATATGTTAATGAGAAAATTGATGAAGTTGAAAGTTGTATAACTGATCAAAAATCATTTTTATTTTCATTAGAGTCAAAAGGAAGAATGAAAAGAATGATGAAATTTGATATTAAAGAACAACAATGTGCATTTTATTTAAATAGTCAAACAGATGATTGTTTGTTTGAATTTGGATATGGTGATATTGTTGTTTTTAAAGAAAATAATAAAACACAATCATATTGTTATCAACGTTCATTTGAATATAATGGAATATCAAATGCACTTTGTGGAAAACAACTTCCAGAACGTTTCACACAAAAACGAATCATGGTAATTGAAATGAAATGATTCAATCTTGAATCATTGAAAATAAACTAAAAACAATGAAGAATATGAACATTTCATTCATCTGCCAATGAATGAAATGATAAATTAAAAATTGACATAATTCATTGTTGATTTTATTTCATTTGAAATTTTTCACACACAATGATGATGTTTTTAATAAATAAGAAAAGAAATAAGAATGAAAGAGAAATACAACACGAATTTGAATTAAAAATAAGTTTTTATTAGCAATTAAAAGTAATAATGAAAAGTAACAATAATTTAATTATTTCTTTCCACTAAACAATCCTTTAAAAGAAAAAAATCCTGAAGTAGTTTTATGTTGTTCAGGTTGTTGAGATTTAGTAGAATTAGATGAATGAGAGAATTGTTTTGGTTCATCCAAATCAATGTTAACTGATTCTAGAATAAGAGGTTTATCTAATCCTTTAATTTCTATAACTTGACGAGTTTTAGGAGTAGTAGAACATTTAAAATCAATAATACTTAAAGGAGTAGAATCAAATGAATCATTAATATCAATAGCTTGAATAGGAGGAAGAGGGTAATTAATTTGAAGAGAAGAATTTCTTTCAGGAGAAGGTATTTGAAAGAGTTGAGCAGGGGTTTGACCAAACTCACGAATTTGGTCTTTAAATCCACTAGTAGTTGAATCAGTAAAATCATTTTCATAAGTTGCAGGATAAAAAACATTATCAGCATCAAAAGCAGCAGGTGGACGTTGGAGATAACCAAAAATTAAGTCTATCCATTTATTTAAGTTTTCAGAGACATAATCACTTTCAAGAGCATCTTTCATTATTTGAGAGAATTGTTGAGGAGAAGAAGCCCAATTAGGTAATTTAACGTCATCAATAAGGTCTTGAGTAGTTCTAAACCCAAAATAAACATGTTCTTTATTATTTAAAAAATTCACATTTGAATAAAATTCAGGAACTAATTCTTTTACATCACTTGTATGACTTAATACACCTTTCCAACATTCATCAATACTACTAAATATTCTATCAGGTTTATCAAATACTCCACTTTGAAGATGTAACATAAATTCAGGTACTAAACGAACTAAAAAGAAAACAACATATGCAGGTGTTGAATAATGTGTTCCATAAAGGAATAAAGGTGGTGTCATTTCTAACATTCTTTCTCTTAGTTTTTCAAGTCTTTCTTGATTTAGTGCACCAATTGGTTTAGAAAGATCTCTATAATTTAATGAATCATTGAGATCAATAGATGAAGATGAATAATTTGATAAAACCCAAGGAAATATTGGGTATTGTGTAAGGTCATTATAACTTCTTCCTGCAATAAAATTAAGATAAATTAAATATTCATAATTTGTTATTTCTCTTTTTTTCCATTTATTTATCATTTCATTAAATTGAGAACCATCATCAGCTTTAATTTTAATTTTAGAAGATTTATAAATTATTTCTTCTATTTTATCACGTTCTTCTTTTGTTTCAAAGACAATAAATGTAGATGACTTTTGAAAGAAAAATTCTAATCCATTATGTTGCATAATATATCTTCTTCTAAATAAATAAACAACATCACTTAATACTCCACTTTTAGTTACAATAGATTCTTCAACATATGGAATAAAATAAAATGAATATTGTGTTAATATAAATCTTCCTGCTATTTCCATTAAAGGTAATATTTGTGTTGCAAAACAATTTTCTAATATTTTTTCATCAACTTTTTTAAACATACTCATATTTGGTTGTAGTGTATTAAGTCTTGAATGGATATACTCTTTACTATATTCATATATATCTTCTTTATCTCCATTTAAAATTAATTTATACATTCTATTTATTAATTGATATATTTCTTCAAAATTTACATATTTTAATTCTATTTTATGTTCTTTTTCTTCTTCATTTAATGTATATGGTTTTAATATATTATCTTCTTTCATGTCTGTATATTTATTTGATCTAATAATAATTATATCATTATTGTTCAGTCTACTAATACTACTTATGTCTCTATATTTAATTCTTCTTATTGGAAATGATTGTTCATTTGATGCAAAAAATATTGAAAATGAACATATTTTTAATGTTCCTGTTATTTCTCGTTGTCGATTATTATCAATGTATGTACATGCACAATCATTTAAATATTGTTCTCCAGGTTCGAGAAGAAGTAAATTAAATCTACTTTTTGGTTTAATAAATCCATAGTTTTTTAATGTATTTCTTCTCATACAACAATATAATAATAATTAAAGTTCTTTTTTTTTCTTTAATTGTTTTTAAGATTTTCATAAAAAAAAAAATGAAATGAAAAGAAAATAACTATTTAAGAAATGAAATGATTGTTTTTAAGTTGTTCATTCATTTTAATTCCATTGAAGAGCATAAACAGAAAGTACTTCATAACTAATAGAATTTCCTATTTTAAATGGTAATTCTTTATTATCTTTTTCTATATAATATTTATTTAATTCTTTAGAAAATGAACATTTAAGTACTTTAGTATTCATAAAAGCATTAGTTATTTGAAATGCTACTGAGAAACATTTATCAACTTCTATGACTTTATTTTCTTTTTTATCTGATATCATAAAGGTTGATCCATTAACTGACTTCTTAATAAAACAATATAAATCTTTTTTATTAGTAACAAACATAAAGAATGATGGATCATCTATTCCAAACGAATTTTTAATTATTTTCTTTTGACAATAAGTACCGAAGAAAATGTTACTATTAGTTGTTCTACAAATTAACATAATATTTTCTTTTCCATTTATTGAATTAATGAGTTGAGTTACGTTTAATTGTTTTTCAAAGTATACTACTCGTGGATTTTGTCTTGTAACATAATGAGATAATGTTGTAATATTTTCAAACTGAAGTCTTTCTTCAAGTCGTTTAAATTCAATGTTTTGTGCTGAAATAGGTCGTTCTATATCATTTTCAATACCAAATGTTCTTATTATTTGTTCTTCCTTTTTTTCTTCTTTATTACTTATTTCCATTTTAAATTCTACTAATTTCTTTTTATTTTCTCCTAATAACTTAATTATTTCTTTCCCTTTGTCTTCTGCTATTTTCTTTGATTTAATTAAAATAATACATTCTTCTAAACAAATCATTTCTTCTTCTCTTAAACGAGCTACACATGCAATAATTAATGGACTAACATGTTCTCTATAAAGTTCAGTATATGTTAATGCATCATTAATACATTCTTTAGTTAATTTAATGTCATCTTGTGAAATGTTATATATTTGTTGAAGCTCTTCATTAGTGTTTGATGTTAAATATACTAGTGCATCAAGAGCATTAGGAAATTGTCTTTTTAATTGAAGAAAAGTAATCCTTTCATTTAATAACTTCACCTCTTCAAGAAGTTGTTGTATTTTATTCTTTTCTTCATCCATTTTCTTTTTTTAGTTTTATAAAACATAAATGAAACTAAGAATTAAAAACAAAAAAATATAAAATTGTTTGTTTTATCTGTGAAATAAAACTGTATTATTGAGATCTTTACTTCAAGCAATGACTAAGATTTACGTATCAAACCTTTCATTTCAAACAAAACAAGAAGATATGGAAAAATACTTTGCAGTTTTTGGCAGGTTTAAATCTTGTATTTTGATGGTTCACAGAGGACGTTCTAAAGGATTTGGTTTTGTTGAATATGAAACTGAAGAAGAAACAAACAAGGCTCTTGCAGCTAATGACATTGAATTTATGGGAAGAAAACTTCATATCCAAATTGCACACCCACCAAAAGAACATAAAGAACACTATCAATACCATGAAAGAAGATTTAATCATCCAAGAAGAGGTATTAATAGAAAACCTTTCAATAGAAATGGAACAGACGATAAACATAATACCAGTGATAATAAAAATGAAGAAAACAATGAATTATCAGAAACACTTCTTTTTATTAGAAACTTACCATACTCAATTAATGATGAAAAATTAAAAGAGTTATTTGCAAAATATGAACCAAAAGAAGCTGTTGTTGTTTCTTATAGGAAAGGAAGTCGTATTTTTAGTAAAGGATTTGGATTTGTTAAAGTTGATAATAAAGAGAAACAAAGTGCTGCTATTGTTGAGTTTAATAATTTTGAAATTGATGGAAGAAAAATAATTGTCTCTTCAGGATATAAAAGACAAGAAGGGATAAAATCCATTCATGATGAATAATGAAATTAAATAATAAAATTGATAATAAGAAATACAATTTTAACTTAATTCAATTTATTCATATCAATTAATTATTTTTTATTTATTTGACAATTACTAAAGATAAAATGAATGTATTAATTCATTTCTTTTTATTTGTATTTCAACCTTCAATTAAAAAATAATATCTTCATCTTCTTCTCCAACAAGATCTACTGGTTTTTCTTGTTTAGAAATACTTACCTTACCTTGAGCTTTAAGTTCTTTTTGTTCTTTTTCTTTAGCAGCTTCTTTAATAGCAATAGCTTTCTTCTTTTTATTTTGAATAAGTTTTAGTCTAAAGAATTCTTCCCTTTCACTTTCATCTAATTCAGTCTCAATATATTTTACGGTGGCTTGAGTCATTGGAATAACAACATGTTCTAATGCATTAACTCTTCTATTAGTAATTTTAATAACAGTATCTAATGTTAAGAAAGCAGTTTGGAGACTGGCTAATTTAACTAATGAATCAAGTGCTTTAAGATATTGTTGACGAGCATTTGCAACAGATTGTCCTCCTTTTGATAAACCTGTCAAATCTTGTAATCTGATTTCTTGATGAGATTGTGAAAAGACAGGAAGTCTAACACCAGCAATATTTTCTTGTGTCAACTTAACTTTATATGTTGAGTTCTTAACATTTTGTACTACCACATGAGAAAACTCTCCTGCAGTATATTTGGCTGATACAAGTGAGAATGATGATGCTTTCATATAATCTTTCATTGACATTTTTTCCTATATAATAAATAAATAAGATTCTACTATTAAGTCAATCAAATAATTTATAACCAACAAACTTCAATAATTTTCTTGAGAATTGACTTAAATTTTTGGTTCAATGCATCTGTTTTTCTTTTTAATAAGTCATGACCTCTTTGTGCACCAACCAATTTTCCTTTGTAAGTTGTTAATTGCATACGAGTAGGAAAAACAGTGTATCGTTTATCAGACATTTTACAACTGGCTTTGTAGTTCTTCTTTAATTTGATTTTTGTATCTCAATCCTTAACTCTTTTTAAAAACAAAAAAAGGGTTTAAAATTATGTTATTGACTTCCTTTTGATTTTTGTGGAGATAGTTTGTTTGGAAGAAGTTTTTGTGGAAATATTGAAATTATCAAAGACATCTAATAGAATAAATTAATGAGATAATGATTGTGTTTAGATGATTGAGGATAGTTAAGTAACTAAGAAATCATTTAAAGAAGGAAAATTGCTAGAAATATAAAAACATAAAAAGATATGAAAAAGATTAGAAAAGGTATGAAAAGAAAAAAGAAGAAAGTGAAAAACTAAGAATTTAATTAAATTAGTGCTTTAATGAAAATTCAATTGAGAATTGATAACTTTAAGGTTTATGACATGATTATTATTCCTTTAGTTGTTGTTGGTGCTATTTTCATAGGAACTATTCTTCAATTATTTGGTTTGTTTAATAGAATTTCATTTTATATAAGTAGAAGAAAATTAAGATGGTGAATAGGTCCAACAAGTTATACAACTAAAACAGAGTGTGCATACAAATGTAATGATAATTCTATGAATGAGTATGATGTTAATAATTGTCAAGGAATTGATCCAAATTCAGGAGAGACATTTTATTTTAATTTTGAACGACTTGATTCTATGAACAGATATACCAAATTATATTTTATTCCATATCTTCATAAGAATTATATTGATGATCATCCATCATTTTTATATCTTGAGATTAATACAAATCTTACCTTAAGTTATAAAGAAAAAGGAACATGGAACTATTGGGAAGGAGGAGAGTTTAATACAAGTCTTAAATGTTATAATGGAGGAAATGGAGAATGTGGAATAGTTCAATGGATTAATGAGCCATATGTTATGCAAAAAGAACAACGAATTGAAGTAACTATTCAAGGACCAAAAAATGTAATTTCTAATATTTGTTTAATGCAAGTATATGGAAGTAAATCATATTCAATTATGAGAATTGTTTATAATATCATTTTAACAATAATATGTTCAGGATATATTATTTATTATTTTATTTATTTAATTATCAAAAGAATTTATCCAAGAGACTTAGACAAACAACAATATTTAAATATAGGATTAATGATTTTTGGACTTGTTTATAATGATCCTCTTGATTTATTATCACTTGCTATTTCATCAGCATTTTTCCCAATATTTCATGGAATAATGAATATTTTATTCCTTGGGTATTTAGTCTTTTTTGTAACCGCTTTCTTCCAATCAATAAGAATTGTTTGTTATTTTACTTTTATGATAATTTGATAATAAAAAAAAGAATAACATCTTTTAGGAAGAAGGAATTTTATTAAATAAAAAAGTTGAATGGATTGTTATTATTCTTAGTACTTTAACTATGATGTTTTCTTTCTCATTCTCGGCATCAGTTTATTTAAAAGGAATGACAGATAACCCATTTTCTGTTACAAAACCAACAACAACAGTTGCAGTACTTTTTTATGTTATTTCAGTTATTAGTGCAACTGTGATTTTTGTGTGGATTAGTTTTATATTCCTTACTTCATATAAAACAATTAAAAGACAAGAAAATATTAGAAAGGGTATATATTTCTGTCTAGGTTCATTTCTTGTAATTGGACTTGAATTTTTTATGTTATTAATGAGTGATTATTCATCATTCTTCAGCACAAGTTTGTTAATTCTATTGTTATTCAGTTGATTTTTATTATAAATAATATTAATACCATTTAGCATTTACATCAGAAATTATTATTTTTGGAATTAACGCATATTTCTTTGTTATGTTTTATGGCTTTGTTCCTACTTTTGCAAACACTTTCGATGAGGTTATTATCGGTCCTGATAACCAAGATGACACTACACGTCCAATCCTTTTTGACATGAAATAATTAAATCTTTATTTCCTTCTTTTTATTTAATTTATTAGTATAAGCATAACATCTATCTATGAAACATTATTCAAATACATTAACTTACCATATTGACAAATAAAAATTATGTTACATCTTAATTATAAAAATAGTTAAGTAATATCAAAAATAAATTATATTGTTAGTTGAAGATACTTAGATTGTATCATATTCTACTAATTTAAAAACTATCTTCTATTCTAAAAATACTTTTACTCTTTTATTATTTTATTAAGAAAATGTTTCATTATTCATTTGGTTATATATTTAGAAAACTAAACCAATATTAAATTAAACGTTTCATCATATAGCTTTGTTTTATATAATAACATTTTTACAATATTGAAGCAATCTCTTATTGGTGATGACTCATTTTTGCTGTTAACACTAATGACATTTTTATTGTTATTAATATTCCAGTTTCAGAAAGATAGAAATAAAACTATAAAAACTGAGTAAATCAAAATTATTTAAAGCTTGAATAAATAATTAAAAATCATGATAAAAAATTTATACTTAACTTTTTTTTATAACATTAGTAGAATAACAAAGAAAATAAAAAACATAAAAACAAAATTCATCGTAAAAACATTGACAGTTTCTTTTCTCATGCTATTGTCTAAAATTTATCTTCTCTTTGGGTTATTTAAATGCAAATGTGGTTTAATGTCAATAACACTTCATGATAATTAATAAATCTTAATAAAAATATGTTTTATATGACAAAACTGAAAGAAGAAGAAAAAGAAGAACTAAAAAGTTATTGTCTTATTGGTCAATGGAAGAATCTACATCTAACAATAAAGACGTAGGTTTGTTTCAGGGAAGTAGTCAATTTACATTAATTCAAAACGTTATTACAGAGATTATGTGTTTTTTAGTTGGAATATCATTCAATTATCTCAGTGAAGTTTTATATTCAACAACAAATGATATGGGAACATTAATGGGAGATATTTCATTCATATATTCGTTACCTTTAACAATATCATTTTCAAATATTATAACTGTTATTTCATTAATACTATTTACTAGTGCCTTTCAAAAATATCCATTATTTCTTTTAGCAGTTATTTCTCTTATTGGACAAATCATTATTTCTATTGGCATTACTCCATCTTTACCTTTGATTTATGAAGCACATGCCTCTTATTCTACGCCAACAGAAATAACTGTATTAACAATATGTGCACTTGCTCATGGAATTTTTTCAGCTTTTAATTTTGCATCATTTTTACATATATCATCATTACTATCACATTTTCATTTAATTTTGTACATAGTAGGAATGAATACTGGACCTATGTTATCATCCTTTTTAGATTATTTTGGGTATTTTGTTGGTGGATGGAAAAGTAATATGGATTATGTTTCTATGATGTTAGTGTTAATACTTATTGAAATAGGGTCATTATGTTTGATGATATTTTGTTATTGTTACATTAAACCTTTTAGAAAGGTTATTAAAATTGAGCCAACTAGTCTTGTTGTCAAAAATGGTGTTGTACTTACACAGTGGCATAAAATGAAAATTTTATTAACCTCTTCATTTGATGAAATGAAAGAGGTTGTTGTTAATTTAAAATACCAAGTAACATCACTGTTAATGGTATATCTAACTTCAAATATATTATATCCAGGGATGTTTATTTATTATCATATCAGTGCTTCAAACCAATTAGATAAAAATAATGATAACTATACTTTTTTAATGAAAAACATCTCAATTATTTACACTGGGTCATGCGTTATTGGAAGTTTATTTACTTTTCTTCCATCACACATATCAAAAAAAACATTATTAGCTGCAAGTGTTTTTAGGTTATTTGTAATTACTACACTAACGTCTTTAATATCTCAAGGAGGAATGGTAGTAGTTAAACAATATGGTAGTCAATCTACCTCTCTTATTGTGAATAAAGTTCATTTGCTGTTATTTGTTTTAATGAGCCTTAGTTCTGCAATTATTGGAATAACACAGGGATATATTACATCAATATGTTTCATTTCAATGATTAAACGAGCAGAGGAACGTGTAGCAACTTATGTAATGCTCTTGTCTGTATCATTAATTTCATTCATCGGAACAGTGATACAAATTATTTTAGTACTATCCTTTTCATCTTTATTTGACTTTTAAAAAATTTTTTGTTTTCAGTTCAAAGTAACAGTTACTTTCATTTAAATTGAATTATTAAGTGTGATTTGTATTTATATACTTTTCTTATTTTCTTATATTGAGGTTAGGACAAATTAATAAATGATAAGATTTAATCTTATCAAATTATCTTTTGTCATATCCTTCTGATTTACTTAGTTTAGTTAACTTGCATATCACTAAGCAATAGCAATAAAACTATTATTTTTTAGAAATTATTCCATTTAATCTAATCTAACCATTGATTTGTTTTTAAATAACCATTGAACCTATTGACACTTGCTCTTTTAGCCTTCTTAATTACCAATAAATTATTTCCCAATTAACTAACAAAAATCAAGAAACAAAGAAAGCTTTTATTTATATAACAGTTACAAATAAATAATTATTAACAACTAAAATACCTTTTACTAATAATAATACAACAAAAGCTACTACAAAGTTGTTGCAATTATAATACACAAAGACTAATTAACATAGTTATATAATTATTATAAGAAATTCTAAGACAATATTATAATATCTAAAATAATACAAAAAAGAGAAATTAAATAATCTAATAACAAAATAACTTGAAGCCTGTCATGAAATAACATCTCCACCAGGACAGCATCTTCTCCATTTATTTTCTGCTCTGTCAAACACAGCAACAATCAAAGTCATATTATCAAAACCTGGAGCTTCATAAGGATTTTCAGAAAGGCATTTCTTTAAGATTTGTTCACAAATTTCATTTAACTTTAATCCACTTTCAATTCCTTCTTTGATAATAGAAACTACATCCTCATTACCTAAAACATCCCAAATACCATCACATGCCAAAACAAGGAAATCTTCATTTCCATCTAATTCATATGTAGTGATTTCTGGAATTGGTGAAATAATATATTTATTAACGTCATTTCCTTTCTTAAATTGAAGATCTCCAATAGCCCTAGTTAATGAAAGGTTTCCATTAACTCTACCATTTCGAATAACTCCTCCACATGAAATAATTCTATCAACTTCAGATTTAACATTAGGTTTTTGATCAGTAGTTAATTGAAGAATTTCATTGTCATTCTTCAACAAAAGACATCTACAATCTCCAACATTAGCAATAACTATTTCATTTTCATTAATAACAAGAGTTAGTGCAGTAGATCCAATATCTTTAGCAACTTCACAACATCCATTAACTAACATTTGGTTATCATAATTTTCAGTTTTACAGATATCAGCAAGCATCTTTGATCCTTCTGGAGTTTTTAACTTTGAGTCTAAAGAAAGGTATGTTTCAGTTAAAGACTCTTGAATAGATGAGGGGAAGTGAGGAGAATTCAGTAATGTTTTCTTCATTTCATTTGCACAATATTGAGATGCTTGTATTCCTCCATGACCGTCATAAATTCCAATCAATCCTTTATCTTCTAATAAATCTGTAATAAGATGAGCGTCTTCCATAGTTTTTCTCCATCTAAAAATATGAGATGCTTTGTTTTATTACATAAGACAATTTTTATGAATTCAAAGAAGATGGTTAAATTAAAATAATAATGTCTAAAGTAAATTTAAAAGCATCAAAAGAATGAAGAATAAAAGAGATAAGACATAATAAAGAAAAAAACTACCCTTGCATTGAGCTATATCCAACTATAGCATTTGGGATTTTTTTAATCCCAGAGTGTTGTTCAGTTGTTGGTGTACTTTGAAATTCTCCCATTGTACTTTCACTTCTACATTTTTGAAGTTCTTCTGGTTTCATTTTATCCCTTTTTTTCTGATTTTGTTATTACTATTCTTTTTAATAAATCTTACTATTATTTTCTTTTTTTACCCATTAAACCTAATTTTTTTCCCTAAGATATTTTCTTTTTTATTTTTATTTTTTTGTGACTTATTTTTTCTTTATAAAGAAGTTTCTACAAACATTTCTCAGTTTTTTTAAGTTCTTTTAAAATGAGTGGTACAGCAATGAGAATGTTCTTTTTCTAAGTTCTTTTTTATTTTTAAAGTTTTCTTTGAGTTAGATTTTTGACATTTATATTAATTTTCTTCTCTTACAAAGATAACAAAAGAAATATAGTTTTTAATAATTTATTAATAATTTTTAAAATAAAAATTCTGAGATGAGGGATTCTAAAAATAGTCAAATTAGCTTTAATAAAGTATCTTCAAGTCATACTAAACTTATCAAAATAATCGCAATAAAAAACATATAAACTGATATTGATGAATTAGGTATAATATTTTCATCAAAACATTTTGCAGTTGAAGGTGCATTTTTGTTTTTAATTAAAGAGAGAGAATCAAAATAGTAAGTAGTGTCTTGTTGATTATTTTGAATTGATAAAGAAGAAATAGTATCACTAGTATAGCCTAATTCTTCAAAACTAATTATTTCTTCTATCCAGTCATCTGCTTGTGTAATAGAAATAATTTTCTTTTTATCTCCACATATTACAGTAATACATCCTTGACACTCTTTTTTTGCTTTTATAAAGAATTTGAAAGATGAATATTGTTGAAGTGAAGCTGGATATTGTGCATAAAAATGAAATGCACCATATTGTTTCATATTGGTTTTTACACAATAACTTCCTTCATAACAATCATTATCATATTTTAAATCAAGTGAATTTAATGAGTTAGAATTTTCAATCCAAGTTCCTTCAAATTTATCGTCATAAATAATAGAATATTCATCAACCATTGAACAACATTCTTCAGAATCATCATTTTTATTATGTTTTTGTAAATTTTTAATATCAAAAAATGTATCAGAAGGTATTTTAAAATTACCAAAAGCTTGATATTCTTTTTCAGATGTAAAATCATTAATAATAGCATAAACTTTATCATCATTAATTGATGTCATTTCAATTGTAAATGGAATAGTTAGTAAATTAGAAGATGTAAATGTCCAAGTATTTGATTTAGATCTTTTACATTCATAAAAAGTACTGTTATCATGAGTAATTCTAACTTCTTTTAATCCAATAACATGATCTTTAACAACAAAATTATACCAAGTATTAGAAATTCCTTTAGAAGAAACAATTTTAATATTTTCATCAATATCACATGCAACCATTCTAAATGTAACATTTGCTCCTCCATTACTTTTTTCTCCAATTAATGAAAACCCATTTTCTGCAATATCAAAAGTAGTAGAATCTCCTTTACATTTAGGATTTTCATCATTTGAAGGACACATATCAACAATTCTTAGTCGTATAACTCCTTTAGGTCCAACAACTTCATAACAAATTCCACATTGAATGGCATTATTATACATTGCTTCATTTAAAGCTCCTGCATAAATATATCCTTTATTTATATTAGATGACATTGGACCAAAACTACAAGCACCATTCTCAGTGTATGAAGTATAATAAGTAGATGTTCCTTCTAAACATGTTGACAATGGAATAAGTGCATTTGAAATAAAAACAAAAAGAAAGATGATTAATAGACTCATCCTTAAAAGATATTTAAATTAAATAGATTTTTATCTTTTAAAAAGAAATAATTCTAAAATAAAAATACAAATAAAACGAAAATAAAAAAATTCGAATTAAAAACTAGTTTTAGGGTTTCATTGTAATAAATATTTCTGTAATTCTTTCAGTTAATCCAATAAATTTATTTTTTAATGATGAGTTATTTGGAAGTGTTTTTGTTAATTCAAATAACGTATCATGTAATGCCTTGATTCTAATTGTATCTTTTGATGTATTACAAATAGATAAAAATGAATTAACTAATCCATCAAATGAATTTTGTAAACCATATTTAAGTTGACTTCTAATATTTAATTCTAGAATTGTTTTTTCTTCAATGGATGATGAATTTGGTTTTATTCTTCCCATAGAAGTTAATACAAATTTATCTCCATCTATTGCAAAAAACATTCCATTAATTTCTATTTGTATAACACCTTTTACAACAATAGCTTTTGTAACTTCTGTACAATCAAACGTTGTTAATAATTCTTTAATATTTCCATTATATATTTTTTTAAATTCTTTATCTAATACTTGTATATTTCCCATAACATCAATTAATATTACTTTTTCATCTAAAAATGCTTTATGTAAATTAAATGTAATAACAATAGGATTAGTTTCCATAATGCCAGTGTCTACATTTAATAAATATAATACATGTTCACTAACAATTAAAACATGTGTTTCAGTTGCAATAATACTTCTTACTTTAAATGGAATAATTGTTGACCAAATTATTTTTTTATCATGATGCCGTTCTTCTGTAATAGTAGTAATAATTTTTTCTCCATTATTTCTTTCTGCAATAATGTCGTACATAACTTTATTTATCATAATACTTTTTTTAATACTGTCACATATTTCTAATTCTTTTAATTGCCATGTTTTCTTTTTAATTTCATTATCTTCAGGTATTTCATCTTTTCTATCTCTTTTTCTTTTTTCACTTAATCTCTCATTTCTTGGTTTTATTTCTTCTTCACTCCATCGTTCTTTTATTCTTTCTTTCATTTTTTCTCGTTCAATTTTACTTTCTTCTACTAATGATTTTCTTGTTTCACTTCTTCGTTCTGATTCAATTAATTCTTTTGCTTTTTCTTCTAATTTTTCTCTTTCTATTAACTTCTTTTCTAATTGACTTTTTTCATCTAATTCAACTTTTTGTGGTTGTTCAGTTACAAGTTCTGGTTGAACTCTTTTCTTTACAGGTCTTTCAACTGTAAGTTTACCACCTGAAAAATTAAGTGTAGTTTGTGTGGTTTGTTTTTTTACTCCACTTGGAATTAATGGCTCTTTAATTGATTGTTGATTTAACATATATTTTTCAATAGTTTTATTTAAATATTCTTCTCCTTGAACTTCTCCTCCTATTTCATTCTCATTAAATTCAAAATATGCAACAAATCCATCAACTGAACAAGCCATCATTCTTAATCCTCCAGGTAACCAAGTAATATCTTGAATACATCCCTTAAACACATTTAAGAAATGACATACCTGGTTTTGTTTTCTTGCAACCCAAACACTTAGTGAATTATCTAATCCCCCAATAACAAAACAACTAAACGCTCGTTTCTTTCCATCAAAATTTACTGATTTATATAAGCATGGTGAAAACCTACAACAAACAACTTCATTTTTATGTCCTTGAAATGATATTACATCATTCATTTCTCTATGTGTAACACATGCAACATATCTCTTTTGTGAAATAGCTCCAACCATTACTAATTGTGTTCCTTCTGGTGACCAACTTGGTCTTAAAAAAAAGTTTGAATGTGATGCAAGTTTAAACTGTTCTGTAATCTTCTTTTCTGCTTGTTGTTTAGCAACATTCCATATAATTGCTGCATTAGAACATTGTGAAAAAAGAAGAATATTTAATGGATCAAAAGCAACTCCATAAACAGGTAATGAATGGTCCAATACTCCAATTTGTTTTCCAGTTATTATATCCCATAAAATAACTTTACAATCCAAAGATGCTGTGGCAAGTTGTTTTCCATCATATGAAAATGAAAGGTCTGTAACAGAATCATTATGTCCACGTAATATAAATACTAATTCGTATTCTCTAAATATTAATGTTTCATTGACAAATGCACCTTCATCCATTACTTTAGATAATTTATAAATCGTAACAGATGAATCATCACAACCACATGCTAATAATTTTCCATCTTTTGACCATCTTAAACAATTAACATTATGTGCTAATGTAATAACTGCTTGTAATTTAGGAATATCTTCTACATTATCTTCATATAAACTTCTAACATTCCAAATTTTAATTTTACCATCACCACCACCAGTTGCTACTAAAGGTTCTTTAGGATGAGAGTCCATACAAAATATAGGATTGCCATTATGATTCATCCAAAAAGGTTTCTTGTATTTTACCATTAAAGAAATTTATTAATTTTTTAAGTTCTTTTTCTATTTTAAATTTCTATTCTATTTTTTTTTTCTTTCTTTAAAACCAAATCATCAAACAAAAATTGATATAAATTGATCAAATATAAATTCTTGATGAAGTTAATATACTATGTTTTACTTTTCTTGGTTATTTCTAATCATTATTTGTTTTAACTTCATTATTTGATATTTCAGAATCTTCATCTGAAAGATGTGTTGATCCTGAATTAGATAATATTACTTTTGGTTCTTCTTCTTTTTTATTTTCATGTGACTCAATATCGCTTTCAATAATTACATTTTTTTCTTTTAATAAAGAAGATTCTTCATTCTTTTCTTCATTCTTTTCTTCATTACTACTTTCTTTATTTTCTTCTTTATTTTCTTCTTTATTTTCTTCTTTATTTTCTTCTTTACTTTCACTGCTATCTTTTATTTCATTATATTTTTCATTATGTTTTTCATTATGTTCATAATCAGTGAAAGATGGAACATGAATTTCTTCATGTTTTTCTTCAGTAAATTGAGTTTGAGTAAATGCAAATTGATTATCCGTAGGAATTCCATATTTGTTAGTTTCAACAAAACTTTCTGGTTCATATTTTCTTTTAAGATAATCTCTTTCTGCTTTAACTTTATTTAACTCATCATTTAGTTTAACTAATTCTTTTTTTAAATCTTCAATAAGATTAATTTGCACTTCCGTTATATGCTGTGTAAGTATTTGTTCATCTGTTAATTCAGTAGTTTCATTTCGTTTATGATCCTTTTCTTGAGAAAGTTTTTTAAAAGTAGAAGGTAATAAAGATCCTCTTGGACTTCTTGGAGGTTTTGTATCTTTTTCTTTACTTTCATCTTTCTTTTTATCTTCTTTTGATTCAGTTGTGGTAGAAGAAGATGTTGTATTAGTTTTTCTTTCAAATTTCATTTTAGACCAACCTTTAGCAATTAATGTATTAATATTTCCTTCTATACTTCCTTTTCTTCCCTTCTTTTCTTTTTTTTCTTTTTTAATTTTTGGTGTTGTTCCATCACTGATTGGTGATTCACAATGTTCTAATTCCTTTTCTTTTTCTGTTCCTTCGTCTAACTTTTCTATATTTAATTCTTCTTTAGGACTTGAAGGTACTTCAGAAACTCTAATATTTTTATTTTTGTCTATACCAAGTGCTGGAGTTAAGTTTGTTTCACTGTTGCATTTACTAAGTTTTGCTTTGGTTCTTACTTGAGGTGTTGCTTGAGGTAAATCAGAATCTTTTTTAATAGTAGTTTTGATCATACCAGTTAATCTACAAAATGGTATTTTTTGGTGGGGAATAACACATGGATATTCAGGTGGTATTAATCCTTCTTTTTCATTACGTTGTTTAATAGAAAAAAATATTGGTTCGTAATTATTTAATACAAACTCAAAAGCTGATATGGCATTTTTTGTATGAATTAATTCATCAACACCTTCAAATGGTGGTGGTCTACAAACAGTTAGTCCAATGCATGTGGCTAAATTTGATGCATTCATTCTTGTTTTTTCTTCGTTTAACTGAATTTCATATAAAAAACTACATAAATACCATAGTGTGTCTTGATTCATTTTAGGAAGACTTTCCATAAACAACTTTGGATCAGTGGTTTTTAATGGTAATTCAATAAATTGTTTGTAATATTCATATGGGATTAATGGTTCTGGTAGTTGTCGAAGGTAATCTTTTAATATTGCTGCTGCAACTCTACAATCATCAAATGATTCCATATCAACATCTTGATCACAATCTAATATTGTTTTAATTCTTGACAACGATACATGAGATGCATTAGTTCTAAATATTCCTTCTAGTTCTTTTCCTTCATGTGTTAATAAATATTGTAAGGATCTAAATACAGGAATAGGAAAACGCCATGACGACTTTTTTACTGCACATGATAATGGATATCCAAATACTCCAAATGTCTTTGAAACTAATGCCATTTTATTTACCCAATATCTAACCATATCATCGTCTTTACAAAAAAAGACAAATTGTTTATCATAAACAACTTCAAAACAGAGTGATTTCTTACTTTCTTCTATTGGTATTTCCATTTCTATTGTCCTACTAACAATGGCTTTAGTTAAATCAATTCGTGGACGCTTATCAATTTGAATAAAAGGTCGGTTTTTGTATTGAACAATCTCAATCCTCCGTTCTTCAAAACGATTTTTTTTCCACATTTCTATTATAGAGAGGTTCTCTTTTTGCATGTTTATGAGCTTTAAATGAAATGTAGTACCTTTTTGTTCTTTTTCTTTTTTCCAGCATTTTTCTTTTTTTTCTTAGAATTTCTTAATAAATATGAAACAATCTCTCCTCTTCCCTCTCATTAAAATTTGTATGATTTGTATCATTCATTTTTTTCCTTCTAAATCTCTTTTTAGTTTATTATAAAGTTCTTGTAACAAAAAACATCATAATTTCTTATAATCACAATTTTTGAATAACACAATTTAACCCTAATTTTGAAAAATCTATGACAAAAGAAAGTCATTAATGCCTAAAGCTGCAAGTCGTCCACGATTATTGAAACCAAAAAGTGTGACATGTTTAAAACCACAACCAACTAAGCGTGAAAAACAATTAAAGGAATTAGGACTTGTAAAAGAAACACCTAAACAAGTAGTTGTTAGTCCTATTGATGAGTCGTATAAGTATTTTGCTGATAATCCTAATTTAGGTCCTCCTTATCATCTTCTTCTTGATACTAACTTTATTCAATTTTCAATAGGTAAGAAAGTTGATATTTTTGAGGGTGCAATGAGATGCTTATTGGCTAAAGTTATTCCTTGCATCACTGATTGTGTTATGGCTGAATTAGAATTACTTGGAAAGAAATTTCAAATGGCATTAAAGATTGCTCGTGATCCTCGTTTTAAGAGACTGACTTGTGACCACAAAGGTCATTATGGAGATGATTGTATTGTACAAAGAGTAACAGCACATAGAATATATATTGTATGTACTTGTGATAAGGACTTAAAACGTCGTTTAAGAAAGATTCCAGGTGTACCATTAATGACTGTGGGTAATCATAAATTTGATATAGAAAAACTTCCTCGTCGTCTCTAATTTTAATTGTTTTAACACGTTAATGTTTTTATTGCTTTTATAATAAATATTATTAAGAAAAAACGTAGTGTTAGAAACAACACAAACATTAATACAAAACAAATAATGAAATATCAAATAATATATGATTATGATGATGTAATTTAATAAGAAATATAATAAATAACAATAGAAAGAATGAAACAAGATAATATAAAAGAATAATAAGAAAAGAAAAAGAAATAAATGAAGATATTAATAATAAATGAAATTATACATAATAATATAATAATAATGAAATATTCATTCATAAAATAAGAAATAAAGAAATGATATTGTTTAAAAATAAAGCAAAAATCAAGAAGAAGATAAAAAGAAGAAATAAAATAAATAAAAATCATTATTCACAAAACAAGAATAAAAACTAAATAATAAACAAAACAAAGAAAATCCACAAATTAATGAGATTTTATGTAAATAATAAAAATTAATCAATGAATAAATTACAATTATATTATTATTTAATTATCTAATGTTGACTTTCTTTCGATTATTTGATGTTGAAAGTAATATATATTTTAAATATGTCATTTTTCATTGGTTATACATGTTCAATTTTATTTATTATTTATTTAAAATTTATTTATTTATTTATATATTTTTGATATTCTATTTGTTATAATATCATTATGTTGATGAGATATGATATTCTAGAATCAATTTATTCTTTATTTATTCAATTTTTATAAAAATAGACTTGTTTTTATTTTTAATAATAAAATAAAAAATGCATTGAATAGATTGGTAAAACATTATTTTAATGAATAACAACAAAATAAACTAGTATTCTTTAAATTTAAATGAATTGATAATATTATAATAATTAAAGAATAAGGAATGTATAAATACTTTAATTTAATAAATGATATTATTATACTTCTATTTTCTAAGATGAATTTGTACTTTCTTTTTAATTTAGTATTAGGTGTTTATTTAAAAGTATAAATAAATACTTATTTAAATTATTTCTTTATATTAATAGAAATAATAAAATGAGAATATTAATATAGAAAGATTATTTCATAATAATTTTATTTTAAATATAATGATGAGTAAACTAAAAGAATGAAATGTTTTATTGAAATTATTTAATAAAAATACGAGATAATAGAATGAAAATGATTTGTAAATTATGAAATAAACATTTTTAATATAATATTCTTTTATTATTTCTTATCATTGCCACTAATCTATAATGTAAATATTATAAAAATATATTCCAAAATATAATTTGAATGTACTAAAACAATAAGTCATAGCATTAATAAATACAAACATAATGTTTTTAATAATTGGTCATTTACCTGTCATTATTTTAGAATTCTTGATTAAACCATCTTGTATTAATAAATACAAATACTTTACTTTAACAAATATTCTTTATGGATTTACTCAAAAACAGTATTCTTAAATGTTTATTGAGCAATATAATTATTCTGATTTATATTATCTATACAATGTTCTATTAAAGAATAATTTATTTCAGAACTGCTTATACAATTCATTAAACACAACAATACTCTTATTTGATTATAGTATCTCTATGAATCAATTAATGAATCAAATAAATTTAACCTCAAATTTTAATTCATTTCTATAATTTATAGTGTTTAATTTGAATAATATTTTCTTAATATAGTTCTTTTTTATTTTCCAAACTAATAACAACAAATATTATATATTGAAGAGTTAGTTTCAACTAAATAACAAAACCTAATAGTAGAACACAAAAATAAACAAATTGGTGAAGATAGTGTATCTGTTTGGTATTGTTCAACGACTAAGTTCATATCAGATTAATTAATAAATTTCTTAACAAAAACCCAATGAATGGAATTTAAAGAAATATAAATTTAGTACTTAATTTTGACTCTCAATATGTTTATAATATTGTTAATAAAGAGAATGTATAAGAAAACAACAGACAAGAAATAATAATGTATTTTAAAACTAAAAGTCTAAGTATCATACCTAATAAAAAATTTAAATTTTATCAAATAGAAAACTATATTATAGTAGTTATTAATGATGAATAAAAAAAAAGAAAATAAATGAGATATTGCCTAATATATTTAAATGATATAGACTTATAAAAATAAGTAACTAATCAAAGATAATTTTCAAAACACAAATTATCTAAAAATAGATAACAAAAGATAAAAATATCCTAAATATACAAAATAACCACTCCAAGAAGTAATATAATATGTATAACAGTTATAAGTAAATTATGAAAAAGAAAGTATTTATAAATGAAAGAAATAAATAAAGGTAATAGGATTACATTAGACTTTTGATAAAATAAAAAAAGAAATTATAGTATATATTAATTAAAAATTTCATATTTAATGAAGATTCATTGGTTTAAATAATAATGTAATTATTGTATTTTAAATTGAAAAAAGGAATTAATAGTTATTTAAACAGATATATAATTAAATAATTAATATTATTCATTTTATTAATACTTATTTATCATATAAATATAAAAATTGAACTAATCATACTAAAAACCAAATCCAATAATAATTAAAACCAGTATTAAATTCAATAAAAAAAATTGTTTATTGGTAAAAACAAATAACCAGAGTATTTTGTTATGTAATAAACGAAATAATATTTTTGTAAAGAAGACATAAAACTTAAAGTTTTATTCTGGTATAAATTAACAATTTAGTTAACCCCCGTTTCGAGTCATCACGCAAGAAATATGACAAGAGTGTATTATATAATTCATTTTTGAGTGTGTTTTAGCTCAAACATGCAAACAATTTGTTGTTTATTCATACCATATAACTAATAATATTATTTATAAACGAAGAACTAACTAAAACTAACTCAACAGAAGAAGAATAAACAAAAGATCAGAGTTAATCTTTTTCTTATCATTATTTAAAATTCATTTAGCTTCAATAAATATAGTCAAATAATATACTCTAAAAAAAGGAATAACTTTTTCAAAAAAAGAAGAATAAAGTGAATATAAAGAAATATAATTAATTCTAATTTCTTCTTTTTTTTTTCTTAACAAGAAAAAAAGTAAAAATAGGATTTTTTGAAATTGCTTTTGATATTTTATGTAATTTTAATTCAATAAATCTGAGTTTGTAGGATTTTAATTATAATTTTTCACTTCTTATTTGGTGTATTAAATACTTAAGAAATTGAAATTTCTCGAACATCTTTTAGATATTTTTAGTTTATGACACAATTAATAATTCACCTTGCGAACGAACTGTAAAATAATAAAAATAAATGACTACTAAGTACAGTGTAAGGTTTAGAGGAATTATTCATATTAGTGGCGAAAATAACTCTGTTTTTTCTGGCTTAATGAAGTCAACGTCAGAGTTTATTCTTAATACAATGTCTTCTTTAAATGAAGATCATAAACCAAATGTTCCACAAATAATTAAAACCATTCAAGACTCTCAAATGGTAGAACGTCTTGAAAAAATCACAAAATTTTCAGAAGAAGAAATTAAATTAATTCAAATTGCTGAAGACCAAAAAGAGAGTTTAAAAATTTTAGAGAAAATTAAAAAAGAGAAACAAGTAATTTTTAAGATTTATCAAAATATGAATAATTTAGAACAGTTAAGAGATTACTGTTCTCGTGTAGTTGATTTTGTATCAGATGTGTCTCAAATATTAAAAAATGTAGATTTATGGAATTGTAAAGGAGCAATTAGTTATATTGATAAATTAAGGTTGTATATTAAAACAATGGTTGAATATTTAAAAGCTAATTCTGGAAGAAAAATCATATCTTCTGAACTTAATAGTGTTCGTCCTACTGGAGATGTTATAGTTAATGCAGTATATAATTTTATGACTTCAAGAAGTAGTACTTACAAAGAAGAAGAAGGAAAAGTTAATATGTGTGCTTTAAATATTAAAATGGGTTATGATAATCTTTATGAATTTGTACTTGGTAAACAACCTGTTGAAAAAGTTAAAGAATTTAAAGAAAGTCTAGATGAAGCAGAGAGGTATCTTAAAAAAGAATTTGACTTTGGAGTCATTGTGAATGTTGAAAAGAAAGATATTGCTGAACAAGCTATTATTAGTCTTGAAAATGCTAAGACTCAAGAAGATAAGGACAAAGCAGCTATCCAATTACTTAATGGATTGAATGAACGTGCATTATTACAAAAAGATGAACATAAAAAGAAAATTCTTGCTAAAGTCATTACTACAAAAGATAATAAAAAGAAGAAAAATTACACTGAGTTATTGCAAGCTGCAAGAAAATTATCTGAAAATGTTGATTCTTTGAAAGAAATAGTTTATCAAACTGATACTGCTTCTTGTATTGATATTCTTTCTTTTTCACAAGTCAGAGATCAAATGCTTGGCATGTAATTCTACTTTTTTTATGTATTATTTATTTTCTTATCATTACTTTATATCACATCAAGAAATTAACAACCCGAAGATTGAAGAAAATTAATAAAATTAAAAAAAAGATGAAGGGTTTTTATGTTAGACAAAAAGAAGAGTAAAAATAATACGTGTAAAATCGTGGCGATATTATAAAAAAGAACTTTAAAGAATAAAAAAATAATCAATTAAAAAATGTCAGCTCGTAAATTTGTCGTTGGTGGAAATTGGAAATGTAATGGTACTCTTGCTAGTATTGAAACTTTAACTAAAGGAGTTGCTGCTTCAGTTGATGCTGAACTTGCTAAGAAAGTTGAAGTTATTGTTGGAGTTCCATTTATTTATATTCCAAAAGTTCAACAAATTCTTGCAGGAGAAGCTAATGGTGCTAATATACTCGTTTCTGCAGAAAATGCATGGACTAAATCAGGAGCATATACTGGAGAAGTTCATGTTGGAATGTTAGTTGATTGCCAAGTTCCATATGTTATTCTTGGACATTCTGAAAGAAGACAAATTTTCCATGAAAGTAATGAACAAGTTGCTGAAAAAGTTAAAGTTGCTATTGATGCTGGATTAAAAGTCATTGCCTGTATTGGCGAAACTGAAGCACAAAGAATTGCTAATCAAACTGAAGAAGTTGTTGCAGCACAACTTAAAGCTATTAATAATGCTATTTCAAAAGAAGCATGGAAGAATATTATTCTTGCATATGAACCAGTCTGGGCTATTGGAACTGGTAAGACTGCTACTCCAGATCAAGCTCAAGAAGTTCATCAATACATCAGAAAGTGGATGACTGAAAATATTTCTAAAGAAGTTGCTGAAGCTACAAGAATTCAATATGGTGGATCTGTTAATCCAGCTAACTGTAATGAACTTGCTAAGAAAGCTGACATTGATGGTTTCTTAGTTGGAGGAGCTTCATTAGATGCTGCTAAATTCAAGACTATCATTAACTCAGTTTCTGAGAAATTCTAAAGTAAATTGAATTAGGTTTTATATAACATATTTTTGTTTACTTAGAGAAATAAAAATATTTTAGTATAATGAAGAAAATTTAATAAATAATTTAATTCATTTTTTCGAGTAATATATGAGGTTTGTCAAAGAAAATCACATAGAAAAAAGAAAAAGAAATAAATAATAAAGATATAATAAAACAAAAGGATAAAAAAGAAACTAATAAAAATAGAATTGCTAAAAAAAAGCCACGTTAGTATCAATTAATCTCCACATCATATTTAATTATAGCAGTTAAGAATTAGTATAAAAGGAAATCTCAAACTTTAACTTTATTCAAATTACATTATAATGAGAGCACGTATGGTAGGACCAGGAAGTTCTTCTTCAAATTATAAAGCAACTGTTGATCCTTGTAGATTTATGGGTTGTGGACCTTCTTCATCTACAACTTCTGGTTACAGAAGACCAGGTTCTGATGCAGCTGGACCTATGGCATCTCGTGGTACTTGGGCAGCTACTACAGATATTGGAGTTACTGCTGCAGCAGCTAAAACAAGTGAATCAGGTTATAGAGCTGGATCAAACGCAGCTGGACCTATGGCATCTAAAGGAACATGGGAGGCAACAACCGATATTGGATTGACAGCACCTGTTGGACCAGATGCCTATGAAGCAGGTTATAGAGGTGCTGGATCAAACGCAGCTGGACCTATGGCATCTAAAGGAACATGGGAGGCAACAACAGACATTGGATTAACAGCACCTGTTGGACCAGATGCTTATGAAGCAGGTTATAGAGGAGTAAGTTCTGATGCAGCTGGACCTATGGCATCTAAAGGAACATGGGAGGCAACAACCGATATTGGATTAACAGCACCATGTTCAGGAAATGAACCAGTTCCAGACTCATATTCAGGTGCTGCTGTTTTAGAAGAACAAAGAAGACTTGAAGAAGAAGCCGCAGCTGCAGCAGCTGCTCAACAATAAATAATCGTTTAATTTAATAAACTATTTCATAGTAGAGAAAGTTTTATTATATTTGTATATTTTATTTAATCATTTAAGTTAAGAATGAAAGTTAAGTTTAATTAATAATATTAAACCTTCTAAAATCTAAAAAATATAAATAATGTTAAGTTCAACAATAACTGAGTTTAGAGAGTATTGCTTAAATAATGATGAATGGCAAGAATGTCTAAAAGATGAGACTCAAACTGAGTATATGAGAGCCACCAAAAACAATAGTGTAGTATCATTAAAAGTTATTTCAAATGACTTTAAAACGTTTGAACCAAAAGAAGTTTATGAGTCTATATGTGATCCTGAATTTCACAAAGAATGGGATCCTTATTTAATTAGTTGGACTGTAATTGATACAAAGAATGAACAAACTAATGTTATTAGAATGTTATTTAAAGTTCCAGTAATTACAAATAGAGAATTTGTATTTGATTGTGAGACATGTTGTAATGAGAAGGATGGATGTGAAGAGTATTTTATTAGATTTGAAAGTACTGATTCAGATAAATATCTAGTATCTGAAGGGTATGTTAGAGGATCAATTGGATTAAGTGGATATTTAATTAGAAAAGAAAATAATCAAACAGTGCTTTATTGTATTGGAAATAGTGATATAGGAGGAGTTGTTCCAAAATGGATTGTTAATAGTATGGCTAAATCAACTGTTCCAACAATGTTAAAGGGTTTACGTGAAAAATTAGCAAAGTATAGAGAATGGAAAAACAAACAAAACGAAAAAAAATAAAAAAGAATTTGAATAGAATTTTAGGTTTTTCCTGTTTTAATTTAAAAAAGAAATAACATTATTTAACATTGTCTCTTCTTTTTAACGATGTTAAGTTAATAATCTTGACCAATAGAAAAAATAAAAAATAAAATGATTGGTTACTCTTTGAAAAAGTTGCTAGTTATTATGTCTTTCTTGGTATTTTGTTTTTACCATAATATTAATACAACAAGAAATAAATGTATTAATTATAGTAAATATAATTAAAAGTGTTAGTTTGAGTTTTGAGCATTTTATCAATTAGATAACATTGTCAGAATTGATTATCTAAAAATATAAATAAAATAGCTTTGCATAGTTATTTACATCATTGGAGAATGAAACTATTTAAAGATGAAATTCAAATGGAATTGTTTAATCTCAATTTATTTTAAATGGTTCAAGTGAGATTTCACATCCACTACATTCCCTCAGATAATCAAGTGATTGTTATTAAAATAAATGAAAAAGATCAACATTTAATGGAAAAGACTATTGGAAATCATTGGAGTGTTTCAATTACATTACCTTTAGGAGTTGAGATAACTTGGAAATATTACGTCCAACAAGAAAATATAATAATAAGGGATGAAGAATGTCAAGACCATAGAGTTTCAATGTTTGAAGAAGACTCATCATATGATGTTAGGGATGTATGGAATTTTCCACGCCTTACTCAAATAAAATCTGAAACTCCAATGAAAAAAGGAGTAAAAAAACAATTCATTAGTCATCAATCAGAAGATTTGATCGTTCAACCACTTGTTGTTTCTTCAGTCCCACGTTCTCCAGCATCACCAGTTATACCGCCATTAAATGTTAATGTTCTAAATGTCGACGAAATTGATCAGCCTCAAAATAAACCATTTGTCTCTTCAGTTAAGCCATTAAAAAAATCTCCAAAGGCTCAAAAAAAGTTAAGACAATTTTCATTAGATACATCATCATACCAAAATCTTAGAACTTCATTAATTAAACAACAACAACTTAAGTTTGATATGTTAGACAAAAATATTAGATTTGACGATGAAAATTGGTTTTGTGTTAAAGATACTTCAGACAGTATGACAGATTCTATTGAAGTGTAACACAAGTTATATCACCTTTATTTTCTTTCATTTCATTTATATTGACGTATAGTCTACTTTTAATTCTTAAATTTGTTTTAATTTTTTTTATTTATGCAAAAGATGAGTCAAAGGATTTTTTATTATTAATAAAAATATTTAATGAAGCAGTGAGAGAATTAGTTTATATTATTTCTTGATTTAGTGGAGATTAGTCTCATCATTGGTATTAATTAATTCAACTAAAATATGTTTTATTGTGATAGATTCATTGTTTAATGTTATTTATCATATTTTTAATAACAATATTTTATACTTTTTTATTATTGTTTTTCATTTGTATTTCTTTCTTTATTCTAATATTTCTACTTTTATTATTCCATTGATTGATATTATTATTATTTGTATCATTTTTATTTGTATTATTTTTATTTAAATTTATTTAACCAATTCATTCAAAATAAAAAGATGCATTACAGGAGACACCACAAAAAATATAAAAAAATAAATAACCAAAAAAGAAGAAATTCACATCAACCAAGAAATATAAATGACAGAAGAATGAGTGAAAATAGGTATTATCTGTATGGACAGAGATACATGAATAATCACACTAATCATTACAATAACAATTATTACCATAAATATCATAACATAGATGATACAAATCGTTTCACTCATCACTTCATTCATAATCATCGTCATAAACACTTTAATAATAATAACAACTTCAACAGAAATAAACAATATCAATATAATAGAAATAAATACCATAATAACGCTCAAAGAAGGTATAAACAATATCAAAATAAGAAACAAAACAGAAATCAAAGAAAAGAAATGATTGAAATACAAAATCAAGAATATTGGAAAAGACTCTTTGAAGAAGAAATTAAAATACTTACACCACAAGAAGTAGAAGAAATTAAAAATACCAAGATTAAAGAATATACATCATCAACAATATGGAGAAGATGGTATTTTCATGCACGAGAAAAAACCAAAACAATCAGAATGGAAGAAGAAACTATTAGTATGACGCTGGAAGAAGACAATAAACAGTACAACCCAAATGAGATTAAAGACAATAGAATATACAATAACTATGTAATGAGTATTGAAAGTGAAGAAGACGATGATAAAGATTCTACGAGAGTAGAAGCTAGGCTTGCTGAGGAGAAGAAGAGGCTGGTAGAAGAGGAGAAGAGGCTTGCTGAGGAGAAGAAGAGGCTAGAAGAAGAGGAGAAGAGGCTAGTAGAAGAAGAAGAGAAGAGGCTTGCTGAGGAGAAGAAGATCACTAAAGGAGAGAAGAAGAGGCTGGTAGAAAAGGAAGAAGAAAACAGTAAAAAGAAAAAAAGAGTAGAAGAAATAGAAAAGAAAGTGGAGGAGGATATGAAAGAGAAAGAAGAAATGAAAAAGGAAATACAAATAAAAGACCAAACCATAAAAAAACTAACTAAGGATATTATGGCATTAAAGAAGAAGCATGAGAAGGAGATAAGCACAAAAAACAACGAGTGCGATAAAAAAATATTCAAATTCCATGCTGAGTCTGAGAGGAAAATGTTTGAAATAAATAATTTAACACAACAATTGCTCTTCCTGAAAGATAAATTATCTAAATTAGAAAATGAAAGTATACAGGAAGAAAAAAAGAAAGATGAGGTAACTTACAATATAACAGACTCATCTGAAACACAAATAGTAAATGACCTCACCCCCAATGTGGTAGTAGCTGATGAAATATCATCATGTGAAGATGATCTTCCAAAAAATAAAGTTAACACAGAAATCCATTGAAGAAATGGATATTCAGCACAAGAATATCACCACATTAGAATTAGACAAGCAAAAAAACGGGGGAAGCAAACAGATAGAGAAGAAGAAATTCTAACACTTTATAAATGTTTTGCTTTGAAATTATTTGAAAGAAAATTAAGATGTCAACTTAAAGAAGAAATAATAGAAAGACTAATACAAGAATTTGGAATTAAAGTAAATGATATTAATGAATATAAAGAAATATTAAAGAAGACATTTAAAATAAAGAATGAAATTAAAAGAGAAATCAATAGAATAATGGAGGAAGAAATAATAAAACATCAATGGAAAGATAAAGAATTAAAAGAAATAATAACTAAAATGAACAAGAAAGAAGAAATAGAAGAAGATGAAATAATGAAAATATTTAAAGAAGAAGAAAAGAAAGAACAAGAAGATGTACAATTTATTAACTACTATTACAATAAGAAGAAAATACATCAAATAATTAATATTATTAATAAAAATGAAATATTAATCAATACATTAGATGATTATTATCATTATATTAAATCAGTATCTTCCACTATTAACATAATTAATAAAAATAAACAAGAAAGAAGTAGAAAGAAAAGTATAGAAAGAATATTACAATCAAAAATATGTAGATTAAGAGATTTACTTAATAATAAACAATATATGAAATTAAAAAGAATATTACATATTAAGAAATATGATATATACCATATTAAAATAAAAACAATTGAACAAATAAACTATTATAAATACCTCAGAAAGATGAAAATAATAGAAATAGAAGCAAGAAAGCATAATTTGAAAAGAATAAAATTGAATTATAAAATGATGAAATATGGAAAAATGCAACATCTAAATAAGCCTAAAGAAGATGAATATCCAGATAATATCTCCACTATTAATTTCTGGAAATGAATCTATGAAACTAATACTAATATAGATTTCCTGAATATTAATTTATATGAAGTATTAATTGAAAATAGAATTAATAATAGAATGTCTATAATTACTCCCAATGAATTAAACTGTGCTATTAAATTTACTGCTAACTGGAAGGCACCGGGAGTTGATAAAATACAAGGATTTTGGATTAAATATTTAGAACAACCAATGAAATATTTATTAAAATTATTTAATGAATGGTTAAACAATCATAATGAAATACCTCCTCACTTTATTCAAGGAAGAACAATATTAGTATATAAGAAAGGAGATAAATTAGACACACAGAATTACAGACAAATAACTTGCTTAAATTGTCTGTTAAAAGTGTATACATCAATATTATTGATGAAAATAGAAAATCAGTTGATGCAAAATCCAATTGAAAAACAATTATCATTAAATCAAATTGGATGTAAGAAATACACATATGCATCAAAAGAAGGATTATTATACAACACTATAATCCAACAATTATTATTAAAGGCTAAATGGAAGTTGGTAGAAACATATTATGACGTCTCCAAAGCATATGATAGTATTAATCATCAATGGATTAAACAATGCTTAATATATTTTAATATCCAACTAGTAGTAATTAATAATATATTATACATATTAAATAATACATATCTTAATTTATATTATAATCAAGAAAGTGTAAGTATTATTAATGTAGAAAGATGAATAATACAAGGTGATAGTTTATCTCCACTTTTATTTGTATTATCTATTGACATACTATCTAAACAATTAGATAAACAAATAAACAAATTAAATATCAAAATGAATGGAGAAGAAAAACAAGTCTAGTTAAACCACATATTGTATATTGATGATTTAAAGATAATGACTAATAGTCTCGATGAAATGGAAAAAGCACACAAATTAACTAAAGAAATATTTAATGCAATAGGATTAAAAATTAATGTAGAAAAGAGTGTGATAATGACTAATATTAATAGTCAAATAAATGGTGAATTAGCTGAACTACCAAGAGTAACTAATGATAACCCTTATAAATATCTTGGTATTGAAATAGGAGATAAAGTAAATATCAACAAATACTGTACAAGAATATTAAATGATGTATCTTCTATTCTATCATCATTAAACACTATGAAATATAGCATTCTCAATACAATAAGAAAGATTAATAATGATATAATCTCCAAATTAAGATATGGATTTAGTATTGTCAAATATAAACTAGGAGAATTGGAGAAGATAGATAAACAAATAAGAAAATTATTAATACAACTCCAATTATATAGTAGAAATATCCCAAAAAGTAGATTATATGTTAAAATAAATGAATTGGGATTAGGATTAATGTCAGCAAGAGATGAAAGTGGTAAAGAATTATTAAGAATATATTTAAAATATAAATATCAGACACAGGAATATGAGAAATGATAGAAACAATAAAAGAAAGTCCAAATGGAATAATTAAAAGAATGAAGAAAGCATTTGGTAAGAATATTAATTTTAATGAATTAATGAATATAATAGAATTAAATGAAAGAAAGCACAATGTAAAGGAAATATTTGAATTTGTAAATAATGAATTAAATGATAGATATTTAAGTGAATTGAAAGAAAAGAAATGTGGTGAATATATAAGATGTGCAAATGGCACTTTTAATGATAAGAAATTAACAGTAGCCACTTGGAGGTCATTAAATATAAAAAGAAATGCATTCCTCCAAATAGTAAAAATGCAAGAAGGAGTAACTATGACAGGAAATATTAAATCTAAAATACTCCAAAATGATGCTTTAAAATATTGTAAACATTGTCCTAACACAATAGCATCTATTAGTCATATATTGTTAGGATGTAATGAAGAAGAATCAAATATTAAAACATGATTATGTTTGTAAGCAAATATATAAACACATATTAATTACACATTTTAATGAATTTGATGCAATTGATTTTAATAATCCTCCAAAATGTATTAATAATGATAAAATGGTTATAACTTACAATAAAGATTTGTTGGTTAGTGACCATTCATTCAATGAAAGAATACCAGATATATATTATCAAAATATGAAAGAAAAGAAAGGATATATTATAGATGTTGCTATATGTCAAGATAATAATTTAGAATTAAATTATATTCACAAAATAAATAAATACAAAGAATTACAAGAGAAATTAAGAAACAATAGAGAATTAATATATGTAGAAATAATACCTGTAATATTATCAATAAATGGATTAATACATAAAGAATCAGCAAGAAGATTAAAAACACTAAAATTACAATTAGACTT